TTTAGTTGGCACCCAATATTTTCTTACTGAGGCAATAGAGCCGATTTGTTAATCCGTGATATTCCTTAAAAAATTAATAGTTTGTTATTGAGTGTCATTTTAGTCAAACTGGGACGTATTGTACAACATTTTATTTATTATTTCCCAAAAATTTTAAATTGGTATTATGCGTTCTTATTTAAAAGTAGTCACTATTCCTCAACAAATAAAATTTTCTAAAGTTGAATTGAAGACATGAAATCGAGAGAAAGTCAAACAATCGGTTTGACAATGATAATTAAAGTTACAGGTTGTTCGATCCCAATATCTCCTTGTAGCCCGAAAATATGTACTTGTTGGTGTATCTAAGGATATTATTCTCTTACTAAATGAATTCAATGTGTTGACTTTGCTTGTCTTAAACTTAAAGTGTGGTATGTTAAAAGGGACTCATCGATGTCTACACAACAACCCTCTTGGCTATACCTCTGCTCATTTAACAACGTAAAGTCTCATGCATTCACAATCAATTACTTTGCTCTTCCTCTCCTTCTCACAATAATCATAAATAACCGAATTGAAGTGGGCTAACTCGGCGACGCTTGTATGCATATTCAATTAGGCATCAAACCGATTTAAAAAACTTCGCTCTATAAATGCCATAATTATATTTCTATTATACTCGTATTATATATAGATGTTATTTTTTGAGTTTTCTTTAACTTCAAATATTGTATTCGTTTCATCTTTATTTACGCCGCTCTGTGAACAAATAGAATATCTCTCTGCGATTGGAAATAGAAGTTCAGGTGAATCAGTAGTAAAAGTGACTCTTTAAAATTCAATTAACGCATACTTTATGCAACGAGTAACTTGAATGTCAAGTTTGAAACAATAAATTTGTTTTCATTGGAAAGTAACGTATAAAAAATTAACTCAACGAATTTGAAGGGTTAAATACAAAAACTGGGATAAGCTTTTAGCAATTTAATATATTTGAAGATGTTTTTAATCTTTAAGCAAAATTCTTTAATTTCTATCTCATTTTGAAAAATATTTATGTAACCAAAAGCATCTTAGAATTAACTCCTTCAAAAAAGTTAGAGATTTCCTGTAATTTATTCACACTTGGTTTTGAATATTTATTTTATCTGATCTTACTTTAGTGTAATATTTTCTTAACATATTCTTACTTATAATTCTGATGAATCCACCAATGTAATGTAATGATAAATATTGGCTGTTTTCTGAGGTTTGTTGTTTTTCTTCGAAAACAATTTCAAAGCCGTTGGCCCTATCCAAACCTTGTTTTGACGTGGAAAATCGTTTACCATTATTATATTACAATACTTGTATAAGAAGCTTAATAGTATTTGATAAACTCTCCTTAGGCCATTCCTTTATATTATAAATCACTTTAGGTCGTTTGTGAGATTTGTACAGTCAGTCGGTAAAGTCTAAAAATGTGTGAAATCGTATGATGATAATCCCGCCCACTTCCTATATAACGATTTGGGTTTTTTTGATTTTGGATTTGCATCAAAGGCATACGATTTTATATCTGACATAATAGGAGAAAGCTTAATAAGCGCTGCTATCAAAATTGGACGATGAAACCGCTCACTTATAGGTGAAAATCAATATCTAGAAACCTATTCGACCAATTTCAACCAAATTTGGTCGATGACATTAAACTGAATTGGACTACAACCACACCTCTTTCCTTTTTAACACAATCTGATTCTTTCATTTTTCAGTTGACAAATCAAGGACCACTGAATATAGCGGGATACAACTTTCCACGAATAGGAC